CGGCGGGCGGCTGGGGGCGGGGCCTGGAGCGTCGGTCTGCGGGAGGGCGGCGGCGGCCCGGGTCGGGTGGCCGTGAGGTGCCGGCGGACGGCTCGGGCTCGCGGGCGCGCCGGGGTCCGCGGCCGCTGCCGCGTCTGCCCAGGCGGCGCGAGGCCCCGAGGCCCGCGCCTGTGTCGCCTGCCAGTTACAGTGCCCTCCGCGCGAGCGGCAGGGGCGGCGCCGGCGGCCTGGAGGGCAGCAGACCCAGCGCCCCGAGCCCCGGCTCCCACCCGTCACCCCGCGTCGGTGAGGGCGGGCGCCGTGCGAACGGGCCGCTGGGGAAGAGCAGAGCCCTGGGCGGTGTCTGTCGAAATGTCAGCACGGACGCAGTCCTGGGGACGCGACCCGGAGGAAATAGCCGAAGATGAACGCAAAGGGGTGTCGGCGGTGATGAGAGGAAACAGCGGGGAGAGCCACCCCGGGCGCGGGAAGGAGGGAGCCGCGGGGCTTGGGTTGGGGTCCTCGGTGGGGCGGGAAACCGAGGCCTGAGGGGCAAAGAACTGGGCCAAGCCTGGTGGCAGAACCGGGGCAAACCCAGGGCCCGGCCCTGCGCCTCGCGGTCCCCCCGCCGCATTCCTCCGGAGCGATAGCGACGGAGCGGGGTCTGTGCCAGGCCCGTTCCTGGTGCCAGGGCCCATTAATAAACAAAGTAGCAACGCCCCAGACTGCAGAGCTGTCTTCCGAGTCCCCCGCCAGCCCCGTGAGTGCAGCCCCTGAGCGAAAACGTCCCCGTGGGGCCTGTGTCCCAGATGAAACAAGGCCCGCCGTGGACGAGCTTGAGACCCTGTGCACCCTGCCCTCCCCCCCCCATGAGGGCTGCCCCTTTGCCGGGCAAACGCTCATGCTCCACGTCGGCCCCACATCACTTCCCCACCCAGGCCTATGTGCAGTGAGGCTCTCCCTGGGCTGTGCCTGCTCCCCTGGGGCTCCACACAGGCGCACAAAGCCGGCTGAATATGTAAGTGATCCTGCCAGCCCGGCCTCAGTGCCGGTGGAGTCACTGCCAACTTCATCGAGGCCCTGGTTGGAGCCGAGGCTGCAGATCTCTTAACCAGAAACCAGTGTTCGTGTGGGAGTCTGCTGTTGCTTCCACCGGGCTCCAGCAGCTGGGCATCGGGAGTGAGGTCACTGAGGCCAGCACATTCCAGGAGGGTCATTCTGCTCCTGGAGGCCCTGAGAGGTGCGTGCTGTGCGCCCCTAGCACGTGCACAGCCATGACGTGGCCGAAACATGATTTACGATAGCGGTGGGGACCTGCACGGCAGGCCTGCCAGCCAGCTTCTGCATGTGGGTGAGTCCTGCTGGTCCTGGCGATCGCGAGATTCTCTCCAGCTGGACGGCAGGAGCTACCGGAGCACCAGAAGGGCGAGGGTGGCAGGGAGAGGTCTGCAGAGGGCCTTGCTTCAGTGTTCAGCAGACACGAGAGCCCTCGTGTAGCTGGTCAAATGATTTTTGACAAGGGTTCCATGACCATTCAATGGGGGAGAGGACAGTCGTTTCAACAAATGGTGCAGGAAAGCAGGACATCCACACGCCAAAGAAGGCAGCTGGACCCTGACCACACACTGTATGTGAAAACTAACTCAAAATGGATCAAGGACCTAAATGTAAGACCTAAAACTATAAAACTCATAGAAGAAAACAGGCACAAACTTCACAACTTTGGATTTGGCAATGACTTCTTAACTATATCATCAAGGGCACAGGCAACAGCAACAAAAAAGACAATTGGACTTGATGAAAAATTTTAAATTGGTAAACACCATCGACAGGATAAAAAGGCAACCCACAGAATGGGAGAAAATATTTGCAAATCATACATCTGGTGAGGAATTAATATCTAGAATGTATAGAGAACTAAAACTAAACAGTAAAAAAACATAACCCGATTCAAAAATAACCAAAAAACTCCAATAGACGTTTCTCCAAAGAGATAAACAAATGACCAATAAGTACATTTAAACATGTTCAACACTAATCCAGGAAATGCAGATCAAAACTATAATGAGATATCACACCCATTAGGATGAATACTATAAAAAAACAAAAGGAAATAAATGTTGGCAAGGATGTGAGAAATCGGAACCTTTATGAACTATTGGTAGGAATGTAAAATGGTACAGTTGGTATGAAAAAACAGTATGGGAGTTTCTCAAAAATTAAAAATAGAATTACCATATAACCCAGCAGTTCCACCTCTCTATACTTATACCCAAAAGAGTTGAAACAGGGTCTCGAAGAGATACCTCCACGCCCATGTTCACAGCAGCATGATTCACAGTAGCTAACGGTAGAAGTGACCCACATGTCCATTGACGAATGGATGAACGAAATGTGGTAAGTACATAAAATGGAATATTACTCAGCCTGAAAAAGGAAGAAAATTGTGACACATGCACATGGATGGACCTGAGGACATGCTGAGTGAAATAAGCCAGTCGCAAGAAGACAGATACTGTGATTCCACTTACGTGAGGCACTTAGACTATGCAAAATCAGAGGAGCAGAGTGGGTGCCAGCGTCTGGGGGAGCAGGAATGAGGAGGTTGGTGTTTAATGGGCACAGTTTCAGTGTTACAAGATGAAAACGTTCTAGAGATGCATGGGGGTGATGGTGGGACATTATTAGTGTACTTAATACCATGGAACTGTATACTTACAAATGGTTAAAATGGTAAATTTTTACACACATCCCAGGGGTGCCAAAAAAATGTATACAAGTGGACACTTGGATCAACGTTGCTCAAGCAGCAGTTCGCCGTAATCAGAAGTGTCTGGATGCTGATGGGAACCACTTTGAGCACCTCTTGTAATGGCAGAAGTCCAATGTGACTTGTATTCATCTTTTGTTATCAGTATATATTGAGTATTACAATTAATACAGTTTTTCCTTTCTTAAAATGTGTGTATGTGTGTGTGTGTGTGTGTGTGTGTGTGTTACCACAATAAAAAAAAATTTAAGACTATAGGACACAGGCACATGGACTCACACACAGACATCAAGGTCTCCTCTCCCTGGAGCCGGGTCCCAAAGCCAAGTTCTTCAAAGGGAAACTCTGCTCACCACACTGGGCCCATGAAATCTGATGAGCCCCTCTAAGAAACCCTGCTATCCTGGGGGCCGGCTGAGTGGCTCAGTTGGTTAAGAGCATGAGCTCTGAGCAACAGGGTCGCCGGTTCGATTCCACATGGGCCAGTGAGCTGTGCCTGAGCTGAGCTGCTGCTGAGCAGCCAACAGGTGGCAGGATGGCTCAGCTGGTGAGAGCACATGCTCCTAACAACAAGGTTGCTGGTTCTACTCCCACATGGGATGGTGGGCTATGCCCACCACCAACAAGATTGAACACAGCACCTTGAGCTGAGCAGCCGGGAGCTGCTGATGGGCAGCCACATGGCGACGACTTGGAGCTGAGCTAGCTGCGCCCTCCACAACTAAGATTGAAGGACAACAACTTGGCTGTTCTCCTTCCCCAATTCTCTAATAAAATCTTTAAAAAAGAAAAGAAACCCTGCTGTCCAAAGTCGCAGATCCTACAAACAGAGGGGTGGGAGGTCCCTGAAGGGAGCAGAGGAGGGCCTCAGTAGCAGGGCTCCCTGGCATCTGTGGGGAGGGTTAGCAGAGGTCGGTAGCTGGGGGGAAATGTCCCCTGCATCCTGCCCGCACTGTCCCCAGCAGCCACACCTGGCCCTGCACACAGTCCTACGAGGGGCCCAAGGGCAGAGGCACTTCCCCTCGAAGTGGGCAGGGAAGTGCCCCCTGCCCACTTCCCTGCTGGCTGAAAGGGGCTGAACCACCTCCTTCAGGCTCCATGGGGTAAGTTGTTTACTGAGCTTCCTGTGGGGTCTCCAGGTTGGGAAAGGGCCAGAGTCTGGGTGGCATAAAAGGAGTGGGGGGCAGGAGGACCTGGCACTTGAAGACCCTGTCAGGCTGAGCCCATGGCAACCCCCAGGGGCTCAGGCAGCAGCTGTTCAGCATGCTGGGCTCAGTCAGGGTCCCTGAGTGCCCCCTTGTCCACTCCAGAATATACACCTCTTCCTGCCCCCAAAGTGCTCTACATAACCTTGACGGCCCAGATCACATCAGGGTTACAGGCAGAGTCCCCACTCTCCTCCTTCTGCCTCTTGGCTGTACAACCCTGGACAAATTATTGGGCTGCCTCCTCCCAGCTATAAAGTGGAGACAATGCTAATAGAGGCAATCCCACAGGGTTGCGTTGTCTGCATTCCACGGGTTAGCACATATGCAGTGCTCTGACTGGC